TTGGACTCTCACCCTTGGGTTTAATTTATCTGGGGTACAGCTTGAGAATGAAGGTTTTTCAGAGCTCCCAGGAGATTCCAAGGTGAGGCCAGGTCTGAGAAACTCAGAATCACAGAAAACCAAGAACATTCATTTGATTTAGCCTCCTGCCTAGATATATTAGACAAATATCTAAGCCATATCAGCATCACCAAGGAAACCGGAAAGACTCCCACCCCTTCCCTCCAAATGTAAATTCAATTGGTCGGGATGGGGCCTGGGTATCTATGTTTTTAAGAAGCATCCTAGGTGGTTTTAATTCATAGTCAGGGTCAAGAACCACTCTGAACCAACAGCAAAGTCACCTGCCTGTTACCTTCTTTACCAGGGGTTCTCCAAGTGTGGTCCCCAACCCAGCAGCATCACCTGGAACTTGCTAGAAATGCAAATTCACAGGCTTCACCCCAAAACCATGAAGCAGAACCTCCAGGGGTGGGCCCAGCCATCTGTGTTTTTCATAAGCCCTGCAGGTGACTCTGAGGCTGCTCAAGTTTGAGAACCAGTGTTGTTGACTAGTTCTGAGGGTCATGTGTTCCCTGCCCAGTCAGTCACATGGCTTCCTGCAGTCCAACCGAATCCTCTCCCCATCACTGTCATGAAGTCTTGGCTCTGTTACTGCGCTTTGTGAACCCAAAGCCCAACTCGGCCCACGTGTTGGGAGGGCTCTCTGTCCCCCCACCTCCTCTCTGGGCCACAGATGGCAAGTACACTGACCAAATAAAGAGGGTGCTGGGAGTTACCTCGATCTCATTATCTCCAGCAGGGGAGGGGTCGCTGCTCCGTTTGGACCGGCCTCGGAGCTTCCCGTCAGGGGCCCGGTGGGGTCTGTCTGTGTCTCCCTCTTTTGCAGGCGTGGACGGTCCATTATGTGTGCTGTATTCACCTGATGTAAGAAAGAGAATAATGGGCACGTCAGAAGCTGTGTGTTTTTTCCTCCCAGGAAATATTGTATCAGCGCCACCTAATTCCAAAGTGGTATTGTTGTTGTTAGTTGTCATTGAGTTGCTTCCGACTCATGGCAACCCCATGTGTGCAGATGGGAACTGCTCTACATGGTTTTCATTTCAAGGTGGTGACATTTCAGAAGGAGATTGCCAGGTCTTTTTTCCAAGGCACCTCTGGGTAGGTTCAAACCACCAACCTCTTGGTTAGCAGTTGAGTGCTTAACCATTTGTACAACCCAGGGATTCCAAAGCAGTAGGTTCCAAAGTTAGCTCTTAAGGTAAGATCCAGCCCCCTGGACGTCCCTTAAATTTTGCACTCATCATTCATTCATCCAAAAACTCACTCACTGTTATTGAGTCGGTCCTGACTCATAGTGACCCCTCTTTGGGTTTCTGAGGCAGTATCTCTATGGAAGTAGGTTGCCCAGTCTTTCTTCTGAGGAGTGGCTAGTGGGTTTGAACTGCCAGCCTTCTGGTTAGCAGTCAAGTGCCTTATGCACTACGCCAAACCAAACTCACTGCCGTTGAGTTGATTCTGACTCATAATGACGCCTCCTTGGGTTTCCCAGGTGGTATCTCTATGGAAGGGAGCTCTGGTAGCATAGTGGCTAAGACACTTGCCTGCTAAACAGACGACTGGCAGTTCAAACCCACCAGCCACTCCTC